TGTGTTGAGTTATTTTGAGGGGACAGCAAATTTACACTGTTATACAAGCTGTACACTCACTACTGTACATTGTAGCAAAGTGTCATTTCTTCAGTGTTGTCACATGAAAAGATATAAGAAAATATTTACAAAAATGTGACTGTGTGTGTGTGCATCAGACAGATGGTCTACTTCCACTCTTGTGACTAACATTTGGCTGATGGCTCTATTGGCTGATGGCTGATGTCATCATCTTTTATCCCTGCTCACTCCATCACTTTCTTTCTCTTTCACACCTTGGAAGGTGGTAATTTATAACTGTGTATTTCAAGAAAAGCAAAGAAAGCAAAGAAAAAAACATTTAAAAAGTTTGTAGTTTATGTAGTTAATAGAATCATTATACTAAATTTGTTATTTATGCATACATTAGACATTACATTGCAGTAGATTTATTATAATATATATATATATATATATATATATATATATATATACACACCTTGCTACGTGTACTGCTTTAGGCTAACCGAGACTTGTCATTTGCACTTATATATCGATGCTCTTTTTTGTTAGTTTTGACTGCTTTTATTGTCCTCATTTGTAAGTCGCTTTGGATAAAAGCGTCTGCTAAATGACTAAATGTGAATGTAATGTAAATAAATGTTTTTAGCATTAAAAAGTGCAGTACTGTTCAAACGTTTAAGGACATAAGATTTATTTTTAATGTTTTTGAAAAAAGTCTCTTCTGCTCACCAAGGCAGCATTTATTCAATCAAAAATACAGTAAAAATATGAATATTGTGAAGTATTATTAACATTTAAAATAACTGTTTTCTGTTGGAATATATTGTTAAATGTAATTTATTGCTGTGATGCAAAGTTTCATTTTCAGCATCATTACTCCAGTCTTCAGTGTAACATGATCCTTCAGAAATCATTCTAATATACTGATTTGCTGCTCAAGAAACATTTATGATTATTATTATCAATGTTGAAAACAGTTGTGCTTTTTCATGTTTTTGTTGAAACTGAGACATTTTTTTAGGATTCTTTGATGAATGGAAAGTTCAAAAGAACATAATTTATTTAAAATAAAAATAATTTGTAATATTAAAATTGTCTTTACAGACAATTTTGATCAATCCAATGCATCCTTGCCGAATAAAACTATTAAATTAAAAAAAAAATCTGGTTAAATGCATTTTTGGTGACATTTAGAAGTGGGTAAATCTGAAATCAGGGAGATGCACATGCATTGTCCTACTTCTGCTTGTTTTAATCTAAACTTGAGTATCTTTCAAACTTTTTATACCCTGAAACTTGCAAACAACAAATCCAGTGGCTCTTCCTGAAAGAGCTGCTGGGAACACACCAACTTCACCCCTGCCGAGCTGATAAAGACCTGTGAACTCTGACTCCCAGATACTGCATAAAGCCAGCCAATCAGATTGGAACCGGCGATTTTTGTCAGCTTTTGGTTGAAGATGCTTCAAGCGGCCTATGAACGGTCTGTAGATGGGTTATCTGAGGCTAAGACTAGTGGATTGTGGGTAACAGGGTCTCAAGCTGTTGAAACAGTGTCTTGAATTAGACAACAACTACTGATGGCTAGAAAGGCTTACTGTATCTCCCTGCAGGTTACAGTGGAGAGCGCAGTGCTTGTTGCTGGCTGATAATGGTGTCCTTCACATGATCTCAGGCCTGCCAGATTGATTTCAGCCCCTCAGGCCGCTTCTCTCTGCTCACTGCAAACACACAGTAATACACACACTCGGCTGCGTCTGTTCTGGAGAGCGGCCAGCCTATTATCTGAGTGACTGTTGTGTGCTGTGCTGTTTAGAGCTGTTGATTCTTCTTTGGCCCGCTGCTGTATCCTGATCCCTGCTTGGGTGTTAATGTGTGTTTGGTAAGAGAGGCAGGTACTTCAGCTCAGTTTAATGAACAGTTGAGCTGAAGCTGGTGGAGGCTGGACAGATGGATTCCAGGACGAACGTCTACTGAAACTGCTCAGCTCATTTGTCACAATGTTCTCTAACTCTCTTTATGGAAAATACTCTGTTCATCATGTATCTCTTGTACCGGAATTACAAACTTTTTCACCAAAATTGGCTCAAATCATCTTCAGACGATGCTGGCAAAACGTTATCAAAAGATTTCCGATAGACCAAACCGTTCTAGGAAAGCGTGTTAACGAATTTGACAAAATTTGCACAAAAATGGACATGAGACTGTTTCTTTGCAACGCTTTAGTGGATTGACCAAACTTTTACCAAGCATGAAATGAGGGCACCTGAGTAGTTTCGGCACAGTGCCATCTACTGGTCAAACGATAGAAAAAATTTACTTTTTTTTGTTTATAATTTCTGAACAGTTTGACCAAAAATCATAAGATTGATCTCATTAGATTTGGAGCGGCATGCTGAATCAAACGACACCCAATTTCTCTATGTCAGCCATTTTGAGCGTGAACCATTTGGAATTTTGTTTAAACGCTTTAGCGTATTGTTATGAATCTTATAGAACCGCTTGCAGGAAAGTTATGAAATTTGGTACATTGATAGAGGACAGCCTCTAACTCAAACTCTTTAGTGCTACCAATAGGTCTAAAAGAAAAATTATTTTTCCTCTGTTTCCTTGGCTCATGCCGAGCCAAATGCATACCAAAATTTAAATTTCTACAGGTAAAGATTTCGCAATTTTGAATTTTGCAAAAAATCTACTTTTTCGAACTCATCCTAGATAGTGTATTCAATTTTCACCAAAACTGGCTCAGATCATCTTCAGACAATTCTAGCAAAAAAAAGTTATAAAAAGATTTCAGATAGACCAAACTGTTCTCGGAAAGCACATTAACGAATATGACGAAATTTGCACAAAAATGGACATGAGGCTATATCTTCACAACGCTTTAGTGGATTCTGACCAAACTTGGTACGTGCATTTTTGTTTATAATTTCTAAACAGATTGACCGAAAGTCATAAGACTGATCTTGTTAGATTCGGCATACCGAATAGAACATTACCTATTTTTCCTATGTATTTATGGATGTCATCCATTTTGAGTTTTGTCGTAAAATTTTGTATCAACAATTGTCTTTAACAGGGGTCTCCAACTCTGCTCCTGGAGAGTTACCATACTTCAGCTTCAACTTCAACCCTAATCAAACACACCTGGACCAGCTAATCAAGGCGTTCAGGGCTACTTAATTACAGGCAGGTGTGTTGAAGCAGGGTTGAAGCTGAAGTCTGCAGGAAGGTAGCTCTCCAGGAGCAGGGTTGGAGAACTCTTGTCGTTATTGAGTAATTAAAGATAGCTCCTTAGCTTTTCATTTTACCTCTGTTGTGCTCGGCCCCTTAATTGCTGCTTGCAGCTACATTTTGGTATTGTTTTTGCAATAATAAACGGCTGACCGTAAATTATCCCACTTATTGCATGATGACTCATAAAATAAAGATGCAAGGATGTTAAATATTTAAACTGAAATTGTTTTATCTTTCTTATAGATTTGTTTAAAGTTTCCACTAAGAAAAAAAAACAATCACAATCAAGTATTCCAGAGAGCCGTGTAATGAATCAAACTACAGTACACTCGTGTACAGACACTCTTTCTTATTCATAACAAATGGATGCAGTTTCTGTTCTTCATAAAATCATTTCTCTTTTTTTATTTATTTTGTGTGTGTTTATAGGTGAGGGCCATGCGTCTGTCGTTCGTGGGTGAGATGGGCTGGGAGCTTCACATCCCTAAAGAGTCCTGTCTGCCCGTCTACCACGCCGTCATGGCCGCAGGGGCCAAATATGGCATCTGCAATGCCGGCTACAGGGCCATTGACTCCTTGAGCATTGAGAAAGGTATGGGTTAATGTTATTATTATTACTATCACTGTAATTCATTATCAGTATTATTTTTATTGGGCCAGTAAGCAACCAACCTAACCACTCTTTCAACCACACAAACACTCTGCGATGCCTTGGCAATAACCCAAGATTGTGCGACATTTTGCACAGGATGACTTACACTTTCTTCTGAAAGCATAAAAATGTAGTTCAGTTGTAAAAGATGACATTTCCACATCTCCTCATGCATTATGAGTGTTTGCGATCTGATTTTGCTGTAGTAAAAGCATGCTTTTAGTGTGTCGAGATCAGTTGATTTACTGTGGGATTGTGTTGATGAGCAGTGTTTGGGCCACTAGAGTTTCACTCAGCAGATCTTGATTGATCTGCGATACATTTTCTATTCACACCGCAAGCATAAAACATCATTGCATCGCTCTCCAATAGAGTCACATATATAATTCATTCTTAATGCTGCTTTCAGCCTTAAACTGCAGTGTTTCTGCAGCAGCACTGGTCGAGCATACAGTCAATTCACACAGGTGGAGATAATAGTTCAGATGTACTGTAGGTTGGTAGGCGTCCCTAATGCACTGAGCTCTGGAAGCTAAAGAAGTAGACAGTAGGGCACAATAAAAACTCAATACTGCAGCTGAACACTTCAGCACAGCACTTCCACTGCACTCTTGAGACTCAACTCAGCTTCACTGTTTGTTCACTACATAGCTCATATCTGCTACACTGTGTGCTCCTGGTTGAAATACTCCACCTGAGTGCAAGACGAAGAAATAAGTCCATCTCTGTTTATGTGAATGCATCAGCATGCTAGTAATAATGGATGTGTGATTTCATGTTTAGTGTTTGGTTCAATGACGTGATGCTCTTTGGATCTATTCATTATTTAAAAGTATTTAAAAATTCAATTTATATAGAATGCACTTTTCCTGACGAACGTGTTTTTATTTTCTACATTCAAATTAATTTTGATAACTTTTGTTGGGGTCAAGTTTAAAATGTTAGGATTGTAAGACATTGTAACAAAGAAAAAGGTAATATTAAAAGCTGAAACTCTTGAATTATTATTATTATTAGAATTGATTTTTGTTTGTTTGTTTACAAAATTACTATTTCCTTTGAAATAAAGCTTATACAGTAAAAACTATATTACATATTGTGTAATATTATTACTATTTAAAATAATAATTTTCTATTGTAGTATATTTTAAAATGTAATTTAATTCATGAGATGCAAAGCATCATTTTCAGCATCATTACTCCAGTCTTCAGTGTCACACGAACCTTCAGAAATCATTCTAATACGCTAATATTTCCTATAATTGGCAGTGATTAAATTTTTGTGGAAACTATAATACATTTTTTTCAGTATTTTATTTTTTCATTTTTCATTTTTTGTGATGAATAGAAAGAACAGATTTTTTATATCTTTAGTCACTTTTGACTAATTTAATGCTTCCTTGCTAAATAAAAGTATTAATTTTAATATGTCTTACTGTCATTCTGTTCAAAACATTTTTAAAATTATTAAATCAAAGCTTTCACTGACAATTGTAATTTAAAACAAAATAGTACAAGTTATATTAAAATATAGGAAACAAACTTTCCATTTTCTAAGATCTTACTCTTTTTTTTTTCATTTAAATGTTTTTGAATCATCTCTCTCTCTCTCTCTCTCTCTCTCTCTCTCTCTCAGGTTACAGGCATTGGCACGCAGATCTGCATCCTGATGACACTCCACTAGAGGCGGGACTTGCATTCACCTGTAAGATGAAGACCTCCATTCCCTTCCTGGGGCGGCAGGCGCTGGAGGCCCAAAAGGCTGAGGGTCTGCGCAGACGGATCGTCTGCTTCACAGTTGATGAGTGAGTCCCAGCGCAACAAAGAAGAGATTTCAACAAAATGACTGTTGTCACTGTTATGAATGTAGACATAATAAAAAGGCAGGAATATTAAGGTTGTAGATTAACAGGAGGATTTGACTAAATTTCGAATCCGGTTTAGGGGTTATCGCTCTGTTTGCTTTAAAAAACACATGAGTGAAAAGTAAGAAGTTTGGCAGATTTACTCCTGAATGTGATCTTAGGGGTTAAAGTGATTGAAAATGTACTCACCTTCAGGCCGTCCAAGATATAGATGAGTTTGTTTCTTCATCAGATTTGGAGAAAAGTAGCATTACATCATTTGTTCACCAATGGATCCTCTGCAGTGAATGGGTGCCGTCAGAATGAGAGTCCAAACAGCTGATAAAAACATCACAATAATCCACAAGTAAACCACATGACTCCAGTCCATCAGTTAATGACTTGTGAAGCAAACAACTTGTTGATTCTGGCTAAAATAAGAGTCCTTTATCTATAATATTGCTTTCTGCAGTGGAAAAGTCGTCTCGTCTGAATCTGGTGAAAAATAGGTATGCATCCCCCTTTTGGGGGAAGAACTTTTTCACTGGAGGAAGCATTATTATGGATTATGAACTCGTATTCTAGCCAAAAGCAATAGTTTGAAGTTAAAAACACCTTGATGGATTTGTTTCTTACAAACACGCAGCTTTTCACTTCAAAAGATGTTAATTGATGGACTGGAGTGGTGTGGATGATTGTGAAGAAACAAACTCGTCTACATCCTGGATGGCCTGAGGGGGAGTATATTTTCAGCAAATGTTCTTTTTTGGGGTGAACTATTTCTTTAAAATTCAAAGCACAGCAGCAGACTAATATGCTGGTCATCACTGGTTTCGTAGCCTCGGGTATTTGGCAAGGTTTTTGACATTTATTTACAAACCGTCTGACTTAAAAGTGAATAATTGCTGTAATTCCGAACTAATGTTATTATACATCACCGCACATTTGACTGATGAGATTTTTCAAGGAGACATCTGAGCTTGATCAACACTTTTCACTTTTCATGTCCACTTAAAGCTCCGTTCTATGAGTCTTAGTTACAGCAGTCCAATGCCCAAACAGCTTCGTCAAACGCAGTTTATAGAAGCTGAATTCCTAACAATTTTGGATTCAGTCATCTTAAAACTTTTCAGAAGTTTTTTCAGATGTTTCAGAAGCAAACAGCCAGATCTGGATGTGGCCTCGAGGATCTGTCATGAATGGACCAGTGTTCATGTTATTTAGGGTCTCATTTGATCAGCGCTGATGTGTTGTTTGTCCTTCCTGCAGGAAAGTGCCAATGTCTGGTCTGGAAGCTATTTTCCGCAACGGCGTTCCTGTGGGCCACCTGCGGCGCTCCGAATTTGGATTTGCCATTGACAAGACCATTGGCTATGGTTATATTCGCAACCCAGATGGTGGAGTGGTGAGTATCGTACAACAGCTGTCTGCCTAAAACTAGTCAGCTGTTTATCTAGACAGCATTTAAAGCTGCAAGGTGCTCTGCCAAAACTTACATTTTATACAGACTTATGTATTACTGCCCATGTTGAGTCCAAATCAGACTATTATGAGGATCCATTTTGGCCTTTAAATCAGCTTGCTTTGTAGGCAGTAGAGAGTAAGGCAGATATTCAGTCATTTTGTTTGGGTTTTCTGTTTTACTCACACAGTCAGATCAGAAATCAGAATATGAGAATGGGTCACTTCTTATCATCAACATGATATTTTCAGTATAATTGCACTTTGGCAAGTACTTTTAACAGATAAGTATTAAGAAGCCCTCTTCTCTTTGTTGCATATGCACTCGTTTCCTTCTCTCCTGTTATGATTGAGGGTGAGTCATGCGAGTTGTTCCTCATATAGGCTAATTTAACAGGCCTGTAAAGAGTGATGATTAGATGAAGGATACTGTGTGTCGCACATACTGCTGTTACTGAAATACCTGTCCTGAAATGAAAGGTGGGGTTGAGTATGGCTAAACCTTATATCATCATATGATCAGTGTGAAAAACATATTGTTAGTTTTTGGAGGAATTTCATTGAAATGTTCAATGTTTATGTAATGAGCAACCTTTAACATAAATAACCATGAAACATAAAAGTATTAAATAATAATAATTTATGTCACATAGGTTTGTCAAGGTCAAGTGTCAAGGTCTCTCGTCTATGTATACAATTATATATGTATTATTTGGTGGAAATTCAATGGTAAAAAATATTTACAGGTACTGTATACTTTCTAAATATTTTAAAATGATACTTATTATTATTATTTTAATAATTATATGATTTATTTGAATTATTTTTATTATTTGGTGGAACTACACAAAAACATTTGAATTATTTAAAATAAAAAAATGAATTTATTAAATGGTTACACTTTTTTTTTAAGGTGTCCTTGTTACAGTGTAATTTACATTTAAGTACTGAGTAATATTAATTAACTACATGTACTTACTATATGGTTAGGGTTAGGACAGACAGACAGACAGATAGATAGATAGATAGATAGATAGATAGATAGATAGGGTTTGGCTTGGCGTGTGTGTGT